AACCTAGAGCTCTGACAATAACTTGTTACGACCCCAGTTCGCCCTCCATGAAGTGTCGTGACGACACCTAGTCTCTACGATTAGGTAAGCATAACCAATTGCTGAAAAGAAAATGAATGATAAAACTAACCAAAACAGCGAATAAAACATAATAAAATGTTTAAGATGTCGTTTGACATATACAAATATAAACTCTCAAACTGAAATAACTCCCAAAACCTGGAATCTCAAGAAATCACAAGCTATAGATACTACATAGTGTTCTAACTCCAGAGTGTCTAAATCAAAAGAAATATAGAAGGGCTATAACTTCAAGAGAGAATGGATAGAGACTCCTCGGTCTGCGGACGCGACATATATACCTCGAAGTCTCTGATGAATCACCTCGCCTCAAAGATAGTAGGGCTGAGTCGAAGAACCTGGATCTGCACATAAAAAATATGTGCAGGAAAGGGCATGCATACACCACAGCAGTACCCACTAAGTGCCAAGCCTAACCTCGCTCGAGTAGTGACGAGGAAGGTCAGGGCCTTACCGATCATATATATATATATATATATATATATATGAAATAGTATGAAGTAACATAGGATAATAAGAATAATAACAAATACAACGGAGAGAAAATCACAGAAAGAACGTAACTCCACACAGATATAGCAACCTTGGATCTACTAGGATACCGTCCTATAGTTCCCAAATATAAATATCCAGTGGATCTCCCGGGTGTCGTCCCGTAGTCCAGTTCGTAGTGCACAGGGGATCTATCGGAATATCAATCAGTAGTCACAAATGTAAATACCCAGTACTGGAGGAATCTACCAAGTGCAGTCTCGTAGTTCCAATATAAATGTGCAGGGGGATCTACCGGAATACCAAACCTTATTCCCAAATAAACAGGCAAGGGGGATCTACCCTAGATCACCCGTAGTCCTAAAGTAAACACACATCACCAACACGAAGAATATTCAATTCAATCCAATTTCATACCAAGGTAAAACAGGAATTCTAACCTAGCATGCTGCACAGAATTCAAATAAGGCAGTTTGAATAAGTAAAGTAATTAATTCACTTAGACATGCTTCCCTAAGCTAACAGTACGCTTAAATTGCAAGTAGTATAAATAGAGAAGAAAACACAGTTATAGTTACTTAATGAAAATAGGATTTCCAACAATTAGCACATGTACGCACTTGTCACCTCACGTACAAGGCATTTTGTATATCAACAATACCAAATCCTAAGTGGAGTTTCCCCCACACAAGGTTAGGAAAGCCACTTATCTCGAACCAGCTCAAATAACTCAAAATCACGTTCTTGCCACAAGTACCCGACTCCAAATAACCCAAATCTATTCAAAGTAATTGTGTAATGTAAATGTAACTTCAAGTAACTAATGGCACTAATTAATTCAAAGCTAACACGCGAAATTAAGAAAAATGCCCAAAAAGTCCCTCGGGCCCACGTCTCGGAACCGGATAGAATTTACAAAACTAGAATCCTAACATTCTCACGAGTTCATGCATACCAAATATTTCAAAATCGGACCACAAATAACCCCTCAAATCCCCAAATCCAAGTCTCCAATTTCAAATCCTAAACCCCTAAATTTACCCCTTATTTTCCATAAATTTCTTGCCAAATCAGTAAAAAAAATACCATAATAACGAGTTTAGGTTCCAAAAATCTTACCTCCTTGAAGCTCCCTTGAATCCTCTCTCAAAAACCTCCCAAAAACTCAAATTCTCGGATAAAATGGTGAAAGAATAGGCTAAAATCGCGACAAAAACCTTATATAGGTTCTGGCCCAGGGTTTCCGCACCTGCGGCCATTTCCTCGCACCTGCGATCCCAGGTGCGCATCTGCGAGAATTCACTTAAAGCACCAATCCGCACCAACGCTTCTTCTACCGCACCTGCGGTCTCACCTGCTCTCGCACCTGCGACTTCAGAACTCCAAATGCCCGGCCACATTTGCGGCTTCTCCATCGCTTCCGCGGGCCCGCACCTGCGGTCCCATGCACGCGGTCCAATTCAGCTTGTGTTAAGCAACCGAAACTCACCCGAGGCCCCCGGGACCTCAACCAAAAATGCCAACCAATCCTAAAATATTATACGAACTTATTCCCACACTCGAATCACATCAAACAACGTTAAAACCACAAATCACTCTCCAATCCAAGCCTAAGGATTCCCAAAACTTCCTAATTCCGCTTTCGATCAAAAAGTTTATCAAACCTCGTCCGAATGACTAGAAATTTTGCACACACATCCTAAATTACACAACGGACCTACTCCAACTTTCAGAATTCTATCTCGACCCCGATATCAAAATTTCACTATCGAACCGGAAATTTCAAAAATTCAACTTTTGGCATTTCAAGCCTAATTAAGTTACGGACCTCAAAAACACAATCCGAACACGCCCCTAAGCCCGAAATCACCCAACGGAGCTAACAAAACCAACGGAATTCCATTTCGAGACCGTCTTCACACGGCTCCGACTAAGTGTCTCAAAATACTCCGAAACCCAAAACGAATCCTCCTGGCAACTCACAATAGTAGAAACAAACACGGGGAATGCAGTTAATAGGGGATCGGGGCGTAAATTCTTAAAACGACCGGCCGGATCCTTACATATAATTATTTGAGCTATTTTCTCAGGAAATTAACTTTTCTCATAACTCAATATTTTTCAAAATTTTCAGTTTATGAGTTTTTGAAAAATTAAGTTTGAGACTCCTTAAGAAAAGTTAACTTTTTCTATAAAAACAATTGTTCTTTTTTCAAAAATTGAGTTTTGCCAACTCTCAAACAAATGCATAAAGTGCAATATACGAACAGTGAAGCTTCCTATGAAAGAGATATGTTCATCTATTATGTCTTTTTTGATAATTAGTTAGTTAATTAATCATCCGTTATGTCAGCTGTGTTTATTTTTTTTGAGCCGTTCCATGAAACAAAAAAATTGCAAGCCGAGATTTTGCGATTTCAAAAATCAAGTACTACAAAAGAATATGCTAACACGATTAATTTGTGATCGAATTGTATATTACTAGTAGTTTTTAGTGCAATTTTAAACTGTTTGAAATGTGGATTTTTCCTTTTTCAAGAATTAAACTAAGTGGTTTTTATTACAAATTTTAAATATGTTTTTTAATTAATATAATGCCAAACTTATAACCTGTAACAGTTGTAAATATACTTTTCACACAATATTTCTATATTTTATTATTAAAAAGGTAAATTAAATCTATTAGCTAATATATGTTTGCATTGAATTTCATGAAGCCAAATCACTTCTAATAAATTTTTTTTTTATCTTCTTCCCCGAACCATCGCATAACTCTTTTTAATTTTTTTTTGGTAACTAACTATATAGTAATCACTAGGAATCAACATTACAATACCATAGCCAGTTTAACCAAAGTAGCTATTTAAAAGAAAACCATTAAAAGCCTAAGCTGAATTAGCAAACAACAATCAAATCTAGTTAATCAATCTAGAACAACATGCTATGTAACAAGTTTGGACACCATGAGATGCTCTAACATTGGACAAATAGGCAATCTCTCTAGCTATAATCTCCCAGTTCCTTAATTTCTTTTCGAATATCCTCTGGTTTCTCTCCATCCAAATGGTATAGACACATTCTGCATAGACACTTTTAAAGATGTGAGCTTGTTGAGTCCTCCCTTTTGCATTCTGGATTATCCAAGCTATATGTTGACCCCATCCAGTAGTTGGCCCTTCCTGCTTCTGTAGCCACAGGAGAATCTTGTTCCATATTGCTCTGGTGAAATCATAGTCCATAAACAGATGATTCCTACTTTCAGGTTGAGTATGGCACATGACACATTCTAAGTCAACAACTATGCTCCATTTTGCTAGTCTATCAGTAGTGAGGAGCTTGTCTTGTAGTTGCAACCACATGATGAATTTGGCCTTAGGTCATCATTCTTGTACATCACACATTTCTAGGGTACTTTAGGGTAACTAGGTAGCAGCTGCTCATAAATTTATTTGATTAGGGTGCCTGACCCCTTCCTTATCTGCACTTGCAACAAAGTCTGCCAAGCTTCCAAGATTTTCCTCATGATCCAACAAGCTTGTTGAGAAATTCTGACTGTGGTGAGAGGCTGGCCTTTGAGGTAGAACTCATGGATCCATTTGATCCAGAATTTTTCATCCTTATGAGCAAGGTCCTAATGTGTCTTAGCTAGGGCAGCTCTATTCCAGATTCTTATGTTAACGAGGTTTAGTCCTCCAAAAATTCTGGCAAACACATTTTTTCCCAAGAGACAAGGGCCTTTTTGTAATAGTTTCACTATCCGACCACACAAAACTTCTACAATAGGCATCAACCAGTTTAAGGACCTTAACTGTCATTTGAAATAGTTGATACCAATAGGACTCCAAAAAGAACAGATTGAACCAGTTGAACTCTCCCAGCATAAGGAGTTTCTTAGCTGCCTATGATGTAATTCTGGCCACTATTTTCTCTATTAGAGGTTGTCATTGAATAAAAGAGATCTTCTTAGTGGATAGGGGAACTCCCAGATACCTAATAGGTAACTCACCAGCAGGAATGCCAAGCTTCTATATAATTCTATCTCTTTCCACTTGATCAACACCTTCAATATAGATAGGGCTTTTCTGTAGATTGGCTTGTAATCCTGAAGCTTATGAGAATTGTTTAAAGGCTTGGTGAAGCGCATTAACTGATTTCAGATCACCTCTAGAAAATAACACTAAGTCATCTATAAAGCTCAGATGGGTGATCTTCATTTTGGTACATCTGGGGTGGAAGTTAAAGGCTTTTTCATCCTTAAGTTCATGTAGTTTCCTGCTCAAATATTCCATAACCATTGCAAATAGATAGGGAGAGATGGGGTCTCCATGTCTCAATCCTTTAGCAGCATCAAATGGCTTTGTAGTTTCCCCATTTACCATCACAGTATAATTAACAGTTTGTACACATTCCATTATCCAAGAGACAAATCAATCAGGGAACCCCAATTCACTCATAACCTGCTTCAAATAGGGCAATTCTACTGAATCATAGGCTTTCTGCAAATCAATATTCACCATATATTCGGGAGATGCATTTTTCCTTCCATAATCTTTGACTAATTCATGGGCCAAGATAATATTATCTGAGATCTTCCTTCCTGTAATAAAGGTTGCCTGAGCATCATAGATGATACTAGGTATAACTTCCTGAATCCTAACAGCCATAATTTTTCCTATGATCTTCATAATATGATGCAACAAGCAATTGGTCTATATTCCTTTATTGTCATAGGACTAGGATTCTTTGGAACTAAAGTGATCGTAGTACAGTTAATAGCTTTAAATATTTTCCCTATGTAAAGAATTGTAACTGCCACAGTCACCTCATCCTTCAGTATTGGCCAATCATGTTTAAAGAAATGAGAGTTGCACCCATCAATACCTAAAGCTTTGTCATCCTCCATGGCCTGTAATCCAGACCATACATCTTGGTTAGTAATATCATCACATAACTCCCTTCTTTGTTGCTGAGAGAGAGTTGGATCTTTCATCATTGTGAGTCTATTAACTATTAGGATTGAAGGGGAAGCTGTACCCACATGGGACTTATAGAAAGAAATAATTTCCTCTTGTATGGCTAGAGGATCAGTCAGTTGTGCTCCAGTAAGGGATGTAAGATGTAGTATCTACTTCTTTTGTATTCTGTCTTTAACAAAAGCTGAGAAATATTTGGTATTGGCATCCCCATATTTTATCCATTTTTCACGAGCTTTCTACCTAAGAGCACTTTCTTCCACAAGTGACCATTTCTCCAAATCAAGCAAGATCTGTTTCTCTTTTCCCAAGAGCTGGTCAGTACATTGAGCATTTGTCATCTCCTGAGTTAGCTGCAGTTCCTCTCGAGCTAGGACAATTTTTTGAGAAATACTCTTGAATTCTATGTTGTTCAGCTACTTCAACAAAGGTTTAAGTGACTTAAGCTTCAAACATATATCTTTTATAGGCCACATATCTAGTTTCTGCTCCCAACTTTGTTGCACCATAGTCAGGATATCTTGATGACTAGTCCAGACATTGAAGAATCCGAATGGGACATTGATGTTTCTAGCCTTAGTCTTGAGGGACAGGATCATAGGAGAATGATCAAAGATGAAAGGAAGTTCATACTCAATTACTACATTTCCCCATTGCAGCATCCATTCATGGTTACCAAATGCTCTATCTAGTCTGCTACAGACCCTATCAGCACCACCCTGCTTATTTGACCATATATAATACTCATCTTTCCATTATAATTCAGATAGTAGAATGCTAGTAATACACTCAGAATAGGCTTTGATCTCTACATAGGTAACTGGGTTCCCAAATATCCTATCCTGAGGGAGGAGCATAACATTGAAGTCTCCTATAATCAGCAGGGAGCATGAACTCCAAGTGCAACCTGCTTCAATCATTGCCACATAGCCTATCTGTGTTCAATTGCATTAAATCCATATATTACCATAATTATACAATCTAAAGGTCCTTGTCTCTCCTTGACATGTCACTGTAGAAAATTGAGCATCTACCTTCAATACAGATATCTCATACAGATTTTTGTCCCATAGTAACTATATTCTCCCATTCACAGCCTTCTTGTAATTGCTTTTCAAACCCCAGCAAGGGGCATTATTATTCCAAACTTATTTAGCCTTATGTGACTTAACTTTTGTTTCAACTAGTCCAGCAAGCTTGGTGTTCTTTATTTTTAAGTAATTTCTCAACTTTGTTTTGTTTATACCTCTTATTCATACCTCTAATATTCTAGAAAAGCCAATTCATAACAAAGGTTTGGAGCTACCTCCTTTATCAGGAGGTTGTGTAAGACTCACACGGCCCCTTTTCTTTGCTAACATAGTACCAGAATATGGTACAGGACCCAGGGCAAGGAAATTTGCTAGTCCAATCTCAAGGCTGCTGTAACGATCCGGCCGTTCATTTTAAGAATTAACGCTCGATCCCCTATTAACTGTTTTTCCCATGTTTGTTTCTGCTATTTAGATTCGCCGGGATGTTTGGTTTTGAGTTTCGGAGTGTGTTGGGACACTTAATCCCAAAATGAGAGCTTAAGCTTTAGAATTTGGACCGTAGTCGGAGCAGTGTGAAGACGGCCTCGGAATAGAATTCTGTTGGTTCCGTTAGCTCCGCTAGGTGATTTCAGGCTTAGGGGCGCGTTTGGACTGTGTTTTGGAGGTCCGTAGCTTATTTAGGCTTGAAATGCCGAAAGTTGAATTTTTGAAGTTTCCGGTTCGATAGTGAGATTTGATATTGGGGTCAGAATGGGATTCTGGAAGTTGGAGTAGCTCTGTAGTGTTAAATGTGACATGCTTGCTAGATTTTAGATTATTCGGACGAGGTTTGATAGACTTTTTGATCGAAAGCGTAATTTGAGAGTTTTTAGAGTTCTTAGGCTTGAATCCGTTGTTTAATTGATGTTCTGATCTTGTTTTGAGCGTTTTGAAGATTGGAACAAGTTTCAATGATGTTTTAGAATTGGTTGGCATGTTTGGTTGAGGTTCCGGGGGCCTCGGGTGTGTTTTGGATGCTCAACGGGTCATTTTTTGAACTTAGAAATTGCAAAAAAATGTTGCAGCAGTCAGTTCTAGTTTCCTTCTTCGAGTTCGCGAGTGTGGTCTCGCTTTCGAGAAGAGGATCTGGGGCTGGTGAGAAATTAATGCTTCGTGTTCGCGAAGCTGGGAGGTCTTATACCTATGCGTTCGCGATGGTGTTCCCGCGTTCGCGTAGGAAGAGGAGATTGTGCACCGCGTTTGCGACTAGGGCATCGTGTTCGCGATGAAGGAAAGCTGGACCAAGCGAAGTTGTGCTTTGTGAATGTTAGGTTCCATCCGCGTTAGCGAAGAAGGTTATACCTGGGCAGAATGTTTAAGTTCAAAAGGTTTAGCCATTTTTGTGAATCTAGAGCTTGGGAGCTCGGATTTGAGCGAGGTTTAGTGGAATTTTTAGAAATATCGATTGGGTAACTATTCTTAACTCCTTTTTGCTTGTAACCCATTAATCTAAACATGAATTCATTATTTAATTTTGGAATTTGTATGAAAATTGGGGGAAAGTTCTTAGACCAAAAATTTGAGTTTTAATAGGGGATTTGACATTGGATTTGGATAATTTTTGTATGGTTAGACTCGTGAGAGTATGAGAATTCTTAAAATGTAAATTTTACCCAATTCCGAGACATGAGCCTGAGGGGCATTTTGGTCATTTTACCTAATTTCGCATATTAGCTTAGAATTTGTTTGTAGAATCAGTTACTTGAAGTGTTATTTACATTATGCAATTGAATTGAATAGATTTGGGCCATTTGGAGTCGAGTACTCTTGGCAAAAACGTGATTTTGGGTTGATTTTGAACCGGTTCGAGGTAAGTGGCTTGCCTAACCTTGTGTGGGGGAAACTCCCATTAGGATTTGGTATTATTGATATTTGAAATGTCTTGTACGTGAGATGACGAGTGCGTACTTGTGCTAATTGTTGAAAAATCCGGTTTTTCTTTAAGTAATTTTAATTGTGTTTTTTTCCCTGTTTATACTTCTTGCAATTTAAGCATGTCGTTAGCTTAGGGAAGCATGTCCAATTGACTTGATTACTTTACTTGCTCAAACTGCCTTATTTGGATTAAGTGCAGCATGCTAGGCTAGAAATACCTGTTTTACCTTGGTATGGAATTTGAATTGAACTGTGTATTCTTCTTGTTGTTGCTGTGTGTTTACTTTGGGACTAAGGGAAGGTATCCCGGGAGATCCCCCTGTATGTTAACTTTGGGATTACAGAACAGTATTCCGGGAGATCCCCCTGTGCATTTACATCAGAACTACGAGATTGTGCGCGGTAGATTCCCCCGGTATTGAGTATTTACATTTGGGACTACGAATCGGTATTCCGGGAGATCACCTCGCATTATGAGTTGGACTATGGGACGATTCCCAGGAGATCCACTCGATATTTATATTTGGGACTACAGGACAGTATCCTGGGAGATCCTCGGTTGTTATTTCTATGTTGAGCTGTATTTCTCTCTGTATCTACTTTACCTCTGTAGTAGTTGTTGTTGTTCTTTCTATTCTGTGTTACTCCTTACTGTTGCACTTATTATACTATCTTATTTTTACACTATTACACCTTGTATTTCATTTAACCTTAGTAGGGACCTGACTTTCCTCGTCACTACCCGACTGAGGTTAGGCTTGGCACTTACTCAGTACCGTTGTGTTTTATTCATGCCCTTTCTACGGATGTTTTTCATGTGCAGATCCAGGTACTTCCACTCAGTCTTATCATCCTTGAGTTGAGGCGCTTTTGTAGAGACTTCGAGGTATATCTGCCGCATCCGCAAACCGATGAGTCCCTTTCTATCTTTCTGTAATAGTATAGCCCTTCAGTATTTTCCTTTTTGTTAGACATTTCTGGAGTTAGACATTTTTATGTATCTCTTAGCTTGTGATTCATGGGGTTCCGAATTTTGGGAAGTGTTAGGTTGAGATTCTTGTACTGTTAGGTGCTAGGCGGCATCTTAAACACTATTTCAAGTTTTTATTTCAGTTTTATATTATTTTCTTTCCGCAACTTGTTTCTTTTCCGTATTTGTTAGACTTACCTAGTCGTAGAGACTAGGTGCCGTCAGGATAGTTCATGGAGGGAGAATTGGCATCGTGACAGGTTGGTATCAAAGCTCTAGGTTCATAGGAGTCATGAATCACACGCCGATTTATTAGAGTCTCTTGTATTGGTATGGAATGACTGTACTTATCTGCGAGAGGCTATGTAACTGTTAGGAAAATTCCACTTCATTTGATTTCTTTGTTGTGCGAGATTTTGATGTCACAACTCTAAACTTCTGTCTTCTATTATCTCATAGATGGTGAAGACACGTGCTACCCGAGATGATCAGGCACCCACGCCCCTTACTGCAGCCGTCAGAGGCCGGGGCCGGGGTAGAGGCCGAGGACGCGCACGTGGTGCAGCCAGAGCACCCGCACGAGCTACCGCTGAGGTACCACCAGTAGTTCCAGCCCGAGTCCAGGCACCTAATACGACTAGTGCTACTACTACTCCAGCACTTTAGGAGACTCTTGCACAGTTCATGAGCATGTACACCACTTTGGCTCAGGCAGGGTTGCTTCCTCTTACTGTAGCCACATCTCAAGCCGGGGGAGGAGCACAGACTCCCGCCGCCCGCACTCCTGAGCAGCGAGTGCATCTTGATCAAGTCCCAGAGATTATTCCTGTACAGCCTGTAGTCCTAGGTCAGCTCGAGGATAAGGCAGCAACTTTAGAGGATGAGCAGTGGAGACTTGAGAGGTTCAAGAAGTATGATCCTCCTGTATTCAGTGGGTTAGCATCAGATGATACCTTGGGATTTCTGGACTATAGGTATATCATGATTAAGTGGGGTTTCTTTCACTGTCTTCCAGCTTCGAGGAGCCGCCTATGCGTGGTGGCGCACCTATGAGTTAGACAGTCCGGATAAGGCAACTTCATTGACTTGGACTCAGTCT